GCGCGTGCCCAGCCAGGGACACATGCAGCCGAGACAAAAATGCAGCTAAATAGTGGCGGGGGGGAGAGGGAAAAGCAGAGATAAGAGCTTTAAAAACAGATTACTCCTCCAGCTGGCGATTAATAAGACATCGCTGTAAATCACCTGGCTTGTGCCACGCTGCCCGCTGGGAGAGAGGTTTGCAGAGACAAGTTCATTTAATCCAATTAGAGGCTGAAGCGTTAGGTGGAGGCGCCACCGCCTCCTCCCCGCTCCCTTTCTGCCTGCCGCCCCTCGGGCTCCCGGGACGCCCTGCCGCGCACTCACCGTCCGTCAGCGTCTGGAAGCACATCTTCCCGCTGTACTTCCCGTAGCCGGCCACGGTGCGGGCGCGCACCTGCACCACGTAGACCATGCCGGGCCGCAGGCCGTCGATGCGCGCCGTGTTGGTCTGACTCCGGGCCATGGAGGAGTTGTACTCGTTGTGGTCCTGCGGGGCAGAGCCAAGAGCAGAGGCATCAGCCGAAACAGGGCTTGGGGCCGTTTCCAGTGCAACCACCCCCTGCCCCCAACGACGGCTGGGAACAATACGGCGGCTCAGGTTCTCCGGGGTAAGATACATCCCTGCTCGGGGAGCAGCAGCGGAGTCACGGCCCCAAGCCTCCTGCTCCGCGAGCATCGCTCCAAGCTCCAGCACCCGGGAGCAAAGCAGGGCCGCCGCTCGCTCCTACGGCTGGGGCTAGGCGGTTTAGCCAGGCTTAATCGCAGCGCGCAGCCACCCTTCCAGCATCCCTGGCTTTGAGCGCAGGGATGCCCTCCCCCTCATCCCGCCAAAGGACGCTGGGAAAAACAAGGACCGGAAGCATACATGCCGAGAGGAGCAGTGCAGATGCTTTTGGGTGCGAAGGAGTATTTGACAGTGTCTTTTCTCGGTGTGGGGGGAGGGGGGGGATTAAAGACTGCTGGAGGAAAATGGGACCGGCATCCCCGGAGGAAGTAATTCCAGGCAGAACCTGCAAAAGCTGGGTTGCAAAGTGCACCTCCGAACTCGGTCCGCCCTTCGGGCAGCTGGAATGAGCCAGAGGAATTTTCCATCTGGAGGTTATGTGAATGGTGCAAAGAAGGAGGAGGCGGTGCATTCGCGTAGGCTGGACCGTGGGGAATAACGCGGAGCAACAGGAGGAAACGCAATAAAAGAGCATTCAGAGCTAGCACGAAGAAATGCTTAGGAACAGAGAGACCCCACGGGCCGAGCCCAGGAGGGAATTCCTTGCCTTTCAACCATTTATGCTCCTGCACAATTCAGAAAGATCATGCAATTATGGAAGTGCCATAACCCACCCTAGGAGCCTCCAGTGCCCCTACTCGAATCAGTTCAAGGGCAACCTGCTTTTGCTGAGAGCCCCAGCCCGCCTGTCACTGCTAAGCTGGCATAGGTCCCTACGCCAAAGACTTGTGGAAATATCATGTGTCGCCGGTCTCATTTTTACAACATTCCCTGGTGATTTGCTGTAAAAGGGCCGCTTGCGAAATCATCTAATTATTCACGTTTAAAGAAATGCATTAAAGTTGGCACAAAGCAGGAGAGCCTGAACAGCTTGGGCTTGGTACAGTTCATTACAAGGGTCAAGAGTCTGTCCCCTGCGGGGGAACGACGGCTTCTTGCAAAAAGGACCCAGCGGGGAGGGCATGATTAAGGACAGCAGACAGGGGGACAACCGTGATAACCTTCACCGGAGCTGGCCTTTGCCTTCCTTTCCTCCTGATGCCATCTCCGCACACGTGTGCAGCTCTGGCATGTGCCCCGCACCTCTGACAGCAGCACGGTCACCGCCCAAGGTTTTTGTCTGAGCTTACCGTTGCTGGTCTCGAGCCCACGGTGCTGCTGAGGTCGGGCGTGCAGATCCGGCTCACCTTCTCGTAGTAGCGGATCTCGTAGTCCAGGATGATGCCGTTGGGCTGCTCCGGCTGGGGCCACGACAGCGTGATGCTCCTCATGGTGGCACTCACCTGGTGCATGATGGGCACGGTGGAAGGCGCTGCGGGGAAAGGCAGGAGGGAAAGTTAACGTGCAGGGGAAAAGGGATTAAACCATCCAGAGAAAGGGAGGGGCGAAAATGCTGGAGAACTTGCCTGGGAGAGGAGAAGGGTGGGAAAGGGGTAGGACTGATGGGAAGGGGAACAGGACAGGACACAGGTTGATCTGACTCCTGGCAGCAAATATTCCAAGGAGCCCAGAAAATCAGCATTTGTGAAGCCATTCCGGACAGAGAAGGGCATGAGGACAGTGAGGGTGAATACCACAGAAGTCCTTGCGGGGAGATGTCCCAAGTGCTGCTCCGCTCCCCAAGGCCACCATGGCCAGCCCTGCCGCGCACCCATGAGTCTGCCGCTGGAGGTCAGCCCCACGGAGAGGAGGGACCGCACAATATGACCCTCTCCTCGCACCACACACCACAGCCTCTCCGCCATGGAGACCCCCATGCCCAAGCCCTTTCCAGCAGGGCTGAGCAAGATTTCATCCTGCTGGGGCAGGATAAAATCTCCTGGGCGCAAGGAGCCACCTTGACTCCCCAGCTCTGTGGTTGCTCACCACGTGGGCCAGGCTCCTGGGTGTAACGATGGGAGAAGAGCATCATTTCTACAGCTTGCGCAGAACGAGAGCAGCGAGGCAGCGAGGGAGGTCTGACAGCTGAACCGATTATGATTTTTAACGAGGGATTTGGAAATCGTTGGGGGTCCTCTCTCTCTAGACTTGCTCCATACCGCAGGAGCTCTCGTTCCAAGGACGTCTCCCACGGGGGCAAACAGGGCAAAGCTCTCCCCGTTCCCGCAGAGGGGGCAGAAACAGGACTCAGTGACCGTAAGGGAGTCTCTCGTGGAGTGACAGCGTTCAGCATTGGGTCTGACCACACCAGGTCTCTCGGGGGAACCAGGGCAGGGATCCCCTGCCAGACCCCCCAAGCACGCCCTGGGGACACCACGTTCCCAGAGGAGGATCTCGAAGCAGCGTCAGCCACCAGGATCACACCTCAGCTGGGCTTGAGCCCACGTTTTCATAGCACGGCTTCTGCTTGGCACTGACCCAAAGGTGCTAAGGTTTCTTCTGGGTCTGCTCTTAGCCACGTGGCACGCAACTGCTGCTCTTTGGAAGAAGCTGAAAGGCAGCTCTTTCACCCACCAGTGTTAATGGGGTCTGTCCTACCCCCAAAACATGACCTTCTTCCCAGCTTACTCTCACCCCTGCGTTTCTCCTCCGAACGCTCTGAATTCCCTCCTGCAGGATCCCCGCGTCACGCAGCAACACGGCTTCCACCTCGCTAAACAAATTAATCTTCCGCCGGCTCCTCGGAGGACATCCCGGCGTGGCAGGCGGGCGGACGCCTGGCGGGGCACCGCGCGGAGCTCCCTGGGCACGCGAAGCCTCGGAGCCCAGAAACGCGGCTCTCCCAGGGACCGGCTATCACATGGGGACCGGAGTGCAGGGAGCTTTATTTCCCAAGAGGAGACGAAGACCC